ATGGTGTCCAGGTTTTGCCTGGATGTAGAGACCGTGTTGATTACAGAGGATGGACCCATGGTTACCACGGTAACATGATGGGAAGGAGGAGGAGCTGGTACAATCACAGTGGGATGATGGGTGGGTGCTGGGGGGCCGTGTGCTGGCAGCAGCTAGGAAGAGAAAGTATTGAAACTGTTGCAGTAACCTCTTTTCCAGCACTCGTGACAGGATGCCTACAAGCTAGATGCAGAATATAAAAAGTGTGGGCTAGGAGGACTCTCCCATAGCTACAGGGGCCAGGATACAGTGCAACGGGAACCAAGCAAGTGCTAGGGCTCCATCCCCAGGAAACTGTCATTCTGCAGCTAGCTCAGGGGACAAGGGACAGAAGCCTTTCTCCAACTCTTCCTGGAGTCCTCTCTTCCTCACCCTTTCTGAGGTTCCCACCCATACCTCTCTGTACCCACAAATAATTGCTCAACCATGAGCTCTTGGTGGGCTGAGCAAAAAGAAGGCTCAGAAATCCCAGAAGGCCACTTGGAGTCCATCACCAGCCACTCAGTCAGTCACATCCCCAGCAGCACTACTGCATTCTGGCACTGGAGAAGATAACAGTTACACTGCCCCCATGTACCTCTAGTTTCACTTCACCACCCATGTAGCCAAAGAATGGATGCCTACACGGGACGGCTCACAAGTCTACCTCTCAGTCCAAACCCTCCTGCAGAGTAAGAGAAGGAAAGGCTGGGCTTTGCTATGTGCATGATGGGTCATGATCTGTGCTCTGACATTAAACACTGAGTCTTAAAACAAGATACAAAGGCTGAAAGACTGCACAGAAGTGAACACGAGGGGGGGTGGTCAATAAAACAGAGCAGCTAAACAGTGCAGACAGACAGACCCGTAGCCCAATCCACCAGTGCTGGATCAGACGCTGTCTTTGAGAATTGGGCAAGATTTATTTTTTGGGAGTATTAAAGGCTGATGCAAATCCAGGCTTTTGGAGGCAAAAGGGCAAAGAAGGAGTCACTTACTTCTGCTCCCTTGCCCCCAGCCAGGGAAGAAGACACTGAAGAGAAGCAATTAGTTAATTTTCTTAAGGCCTCTGGAGATGGATGGTACACAAGAACCCACATAACCCCCCTCAGGGGTTGCTGGCAAGCAGTCTGGGCAACTCAACAAGAAGGTGGTTGCAGGACTGCAGCTGTTCAGAGGCAAATCAGATGTCTGTGTCTCTCCTTCACCACATGCTTAAACCACAAGTGAGAATCCTGCCGTTCCACAGCCAAGAGAATTGGGAGCCCCATAGTGAGACACCAGTCACTGAGCCTGAAGTCTGTCCCTGTTTGTCCCCTAGACAGCAGGGCTGGCCAGGAGGGTCTGGGGCCCGTAAACAGAGAAATGAGAAATGCCAGAAGGCATTACATTCCAGACCACAATCTCTAAACAGCCGATGTAAGGTGTTTAACACAAAATTTATTGCTCTACTGTCAGACTATCCCAGCCACTGTCTCCCTGAGCAAAGCCTGCCCCTCTGCCAAGGTCTTACCATGACCTGATCCCATGGGAGGTAGCAACATGGTCTATCCTGGACTATTCCCCTTCTGCTGGAGGGATAATTAAACAGCAACTGCTGAGACCAGAGCAACATGGACAAGCTCTAGAATCAACGCTCTCAACATGAGGGGTGTTCAGAAAGCTTCTAGCCTAACAAAAAACCAGCATTTGCATTCAATGGCTTATTTTTCAGTATAGTCCATCTCAGCACCAATATTACTTGGCCCAGCACAGCTGTAGCTTGGTTACACTCATCTTGTAGAAGCCCTTGTCCTGCACGTGGGAACAACTCAACTGCCTCTATTACCTCAACATCACCATCCCTGAAATTATTCCCAAAAGGTCTTCCTTCAACTAAGGGGAAGAAGCAAGTCTGAAGGAGCCAGATCTGGAGGGTTGGCTGGATGGGGAGGCAGACCATAAATCCATCATGCTAGTCAGATCTGCTTCTGCTTTCCAGAAAGTTCCCAACAATCACCAGCACCTGGTTTTGAGGAGGCAGAAATTACCTCACATGGAGAAAAGGAGCTACATCCTGACAGCATGTTTGCAACAATGCTGATCTCTTGTCGTCCCCTCAACACCACTGATTTATCTGTTCCCCAGTGTGAGGGCATAGATCACTATGACCTTTGAGAAAAGGAGCAGAACACCTCTGCCTGTTGAAAAGCAACCAAAATACTGCCCCTGAACCCAGTGTCAGCTTTGGATGCTATCTGACTACAGTGCTTTGATATAGCAGCCCTACAAGGTTACAGATCACAGGAAAATGTCAGGGAAGCAGCAGCCTCGCTACTTCAGCCACCTTGGGCACATGCGCTTGCAGCAGCTCAAATAGAAGGGGTACAGGCTTGAGCCGGGGCCTTTTACCTCAGCGCACGTGCTCAGACATGCACCTTGTTGTGGAGCAAATTGTGCCACTTGGGGCAAGATAACCCTGCCTGGCTCCTCCCTGATCTGCAGCCAGGGGGAGATAGAGCCCGAGGCCAGCACCTGTGCTGTCCCCAGCAGTAAAAAAAGCTACCTTGTCCTGGCCCCAGCAATACAAAAAACCTGCTCTGGCCAGCAACTCAGGGTTACTTGACCTCAGGAGCTTCTGGGGCCCAGGCAATTGGTATCTGGGGATACTAGCCCTTTGTGTCAGCTAGACTGCTGAGGCAGCATCCCAAATTCATTTTTTAAAATACCCCAAAATCCACATTCTTCCACAATTAGAACAGAAGAGAGAGAAAGGGAGATTGAGCAGACGGGCAATGCTTTATTGTTATATTTACAGTGTTAAAGAAATCTGGACGCCCATCTCTAGCATCATAATAAAATAAATCCTAAATATCTATGTTTTAATGTTTGCTTTGGATTTCCTTATCACATGGTGGGTGTGTGATGGGGGGCGGGATGTGGGGTTTGCAGGAGTGGATGGGAAGGGGGGTGGGGAGATGCGACTCTGTGTGGGTAGGTGTGGGGGGACTGTGCATGTGGGGGCTGCTTAGGAGAAGTGGGTTCCCTGCATGAACACCGCATGCCCACAGCACCTGGCAGGGCATGGTGGCAGTGGGGGGAGGGGTGGTGAGCGGTGAGCACCCACAGACACCACCAGCAGTGACAG